CCCAAAAAACTTCACAAATGAACTTACTTACAAAACAGAGACAGACTCACAGACATAGAAAACAAATTTATGGTTACTAGCAGGGGAAGGGGGTGGGAAGGGATAAATTGGGAGTTTGAGATTTGCAGATACTAACTACTATGTATAAAATAAACAACAAGTTTCTACTGTATAGCACAGGGAACTATATTCAATATCTTATAGTAACTTATTAAAAAAAAGAGTATGAAAAGAAATATATGTATGTCTGTATGACTGAAACATTATGCTGTACACCGGAAACTGACACAACATGGCAAGCTGACTATACTTCAACAAAACAAAAATGTTTTAAAAAGAGGGACCATGTTGAAACAAATAATACTTTCAATAAAATCTGGAAATGCCCTCCCTGAGTGTAGGAATGTCCTTCTTGTCATGGAAGCTGGCTGCCTTGCACCATCATCATGATTGGGCTGAGAAGGGGTGATGGACGTCAGCTTTAGCAAACTGTTTTTCTTACTCTGCCTACCAAGGTGGACGACACTATGAATTGGTAGAGAAGGAGCTGAATAGAAGAACTATACAACTTCAGACCAGCTGATGGACTGAAAAGTGACTCATTAGCTGCCCAGGCTAGGACAGCTGTGGACTAGAGGCCTCTGGCTGCCAGGATGTAGCCAGAGAGACCCACTCTGTGTAAGAGGTCTGCAAAGGAATGATCTAAGGCCCCACAAAGGCTTCCATGGAGTGGTCTATGGTACGATCGCCTCGGATGATACACGCCATGAATTTAGGACTTGGAATCTCCCCCTTGATCTATTTTATGCCATCCCGGTATGTGTCAGAAAAAGATCAGCTGCCAAAAAGCAAAGATCTTCCTGTTTCTAAAAATAAAATGCTGGCAACACTTCAGGCCCCTATGCCAAGACCAGGCCCTTCCCAGGATAAACAATAGGTGGCCAAGCTGATCAGAGGCAGGCACTGGGCCTTGCAGGGGGCCTAGGCCCAGCCTGGAATGTCTAGGTCAGGGCATGTGCAGCTGGAAAGCTAGAAGCCAGAGATGGCCCTCCTCCACAGCAGATGGGGGGCAGTTCCCGTCCCCCGAAGCCAGGGGCCGGGTGTGACAGTGTCCGGTTACACCAGCAACCTTGACGAAGCTGAGGTCACAGAGCTCCCACCCACCCCCCGCCCCCAGAGCCCCAGGGTGCGTGGTGACAGACCTAGGGCTTTGTGAGCTCCTGTCCAGAGAAAGTTCCCTGGGAAGGAGAGTTCCATAAGCATCTGTTTGCATCTGCTACTCAGGGCTGAGGCCATCACCTGTCAAAACCTATCATCCCCGCTGAGAGCCCTCACCTGCCAGACACCAGCCCCACAGCCCACCTTAGTGTGTGAATGCTGTAATAACAGTCGTCTTTCCCACTCTAATTGCCTCCTGACTCGTCAAATGCTTCTTCAGCACTTGTTCCAGCCACTGTCATTAGGGTTCAAATCTTCCCTAGACCAGAAGCATGGCTTTGTGCTGGTTTAGGGGGTTAAAAGGGCTAAGAGGGGGTTAGGGGAGGAGAGGGACTAAATATAGCAAATATTTGCCAGCATAATCACTCCATAAACATGCTTCAGTGGGACAGAGTGTAGGGCCGACCCAGATGACGGATGTCACTCACCCGAGTGTCACATCATAAATAAAACTGAATGAGCCCATTTTCCTGCAGACCCAGAATGACGCCTGTTCACACTATAAATATTTATGTAGTCATGGTCCTTAAAAGACTTTATTTTTCCAGGTAAGTAGACTTTAATGAAAAAGTTAAGCAGAGCTTTTCCTGCAATTATGGAAGAGTTGCTGTAGCTCGTCCACGGGCACTCCATGGGGAGGAAAAGAAAAAAAAAGAAAGAAAAAAGGGAAGAATAAGGCTCCCTTCCAGGAGGCTGCTCCATGGAGATCTCATTTATGCCCGTCAAGGTTCATTCTCATTCAAGAAGTGACAGCCTTCAAGGGTGGGGAAGCGAAAACCAGAACAGCATCAGTCCCGCTCAGTTCAGGCCCCTGTAATGAAGGGAGCATGAGCAGATCCCAGTCACCCAAGGTCAGACCCCTCCCACCACCTCTTCGAGAAGAGACATCCTCCTTCGGGCTCTCAGCTCTCTCAGCCTGCCTCTTAGGAACAGAAAAAATTGTACCCCTCGCCCCACTACTACGCTCACTGGAAAGGAATTCTCAGAATGTAAGGATGTGAGCCTGGGTGTCTCGGTGTTTATGTAAAGTCCACCATTCCTGCTTCTTATCGACTCCTTCTGATTCCATCAGCCAGGGCACCTCAGAAACCCCGCCAGAACCTGACCTGCTTTTCCTGCGCTCTTCTGGCACCCTCCGCCAAGAGCAAACCCGCCCCCGGCTCCTGGCAGCACTCCCTGGAGCTCCCAAGCCACCGTCTCTACAACAATACGGGTGAATTTTCATGTCACTTTGTAGTTTACTCATCTTGAGACAGGCTGGGACCTCAGACCCGGGACCCTGGGCTGCAATGCTTGCACCTGACTGAACAATAGAATACAAAAAGAACTATAAAGGACAAAAAAGTAACTCTGTGTATGCGTAGCTGGGGCGAATAATGAACAAGATACAAAAAGACCAGAAGCCCAACTGCCATTTCTGAGGTGTTGGGAGCAAAAGCAGGGTACCGCAGCAGAAGCAGGTACTGCCCATGATCCCTGCACACAGCACCTCCAAGGGGGTAGGCAGACCACCTCAGCCACCCCTCCAGCCAGACCCCTGGACCCACCCCTACTTGCACCCCATTGAAGGGACTAGCACCCCCCCCCCAGGTAGTGAGCAAGGAAACCTGGTACTTGTTTTTTCTCCCTCATTTTCATCATGAGTCCTGACAAAGCGTTGGCTGAATTTCTCATCTGGCTTCTTATCAATTTCTAGAATCCTGGTTGGTAACAATCTCTTCAACGTATAAAAACCTTCATCCAAGTCCATCAAGGGGGGGCTTTCCCAAGGATGGCCTTCTGCCCAGGCTCCCTTCCCTTCCAAACCTCAGGGTGGCCCCCACTAGGTCAACCTGAACCGGCCTCGGTGGGAAAAGCCAATGATCTTTGGGCTCTAGCCTCCGGAAGTCTTGTTCCACGAGGAACAAGAGTCTCTGGTTTTGGGCAGTGAGTCACAGGCTGCCTTGACCGGCCTATCTGGGGAGGCCTGGGGCTGCCATGTATGGGCCTTGCTCGGTGCCACCCACCTCTCCATGTCAGTTGGAGCTCTTTGCCAGGGCAGCCTGACTCATAAAACTCGGCACATTCCTGAGGCGTTGGATAGCATTTCCTTGTTATTACTTTGCTTTTGTTTTATGCCGCACCTGGTTTCATTTTAAAAATCCAAATAAAATCTCATGGTTAGGGTTTGGGTCGGGTGGGGGGATAGGAAGGAAAGAAAAAGAGAAAGAAACGAGTAAAGTCTATGTTGGGGAAGGAAGAAGGGGCTGGAACTCCTCAAATAGGCAAGACCCAGAACCGCAGAGTGAAAGGCAGGAGAGAGAGAGGAGGAGGTGCTACAACTGAACTAAGTTTGATCGTCCTTTTTCCGTATGTGATAAAGCCCTTGATGCCTAAGTCTCCGCCCCAATTTAGGCGCAGTTCCGAGTTAGTCCTTTACTCATAAGCCATGTGATCTTCCCTAAAGCCCTACACTTTGTCTCCTCCATAAACCGACAGGCTTATTTTTCATGAATTCCAAGGAACTTTCCACTTAGAACCCTGTGATTCTACAAACCTATCTATTCCCTTTTTTTCTTGGACCACAAACCCCAACCCGTGTGTAAGAGGACATTTTCCCCCAAACTAACGTTTGGTTTTTGTCTTTGGTGGGGAGAGGAATGGGGGCCAGCAAGGGAGAAGGTGTAGACCCAACCATATAAATGTTGCTGGTCAAACTGAATTTCTGTGGCCAGGTTATTTTGTAAAATCATCTGTAAAGCTGTTAACATTGCTTTTAGAATTAAAACAGTATTTTTTTTGTTTGTTTTTTTAAATAATATTCTAATAATCTGTGCTTTGTATATAGAAAAAACACAGAAAAAGAAAGAATGAATGATGCTAATTAACAGAACTGTATTTCCTTGTAGTTGTAAAGTATATTAATTGCAAATTGAGATCAGGACGGTTAGGTATTGACTGAGACCTTCAACCGAGGCCTTTACTTCCCTGTGGCCGAGATTCTCTCCGTGAGGCTGGCCAGGGCAAAAATCCTGGAGGTCCCTGAGTGGCTCCAAAGCTGCAGTTTCAATGCACGGTTTGGCGAGCTTAATGGAAACCATACGAAGGGATCCCGGGACTCAGACCAGATGGCTTCCCGGGAATGCATTTAGCCTAACCTGGGCTAAAGAACAAAAATAACCACCAGGAGGTTCGGGGAGGAGGAGGAAGTAGGGGTGGTGGTGCGACTTTTAATTATCTTTTCTACTTAACAAATCTTGTAGAGAAGGACGGTTTGGTAAACGGGAGTAAATGGGGCATTGGGCAGGGCGGGAGGTGCAGAGGAAGAGGGGTAGGAGGCAGCTACTTCCGTAACCACACGAGGTTCGGCCTCCCCTGGTGGGACAACAGGGGTGGGGGCCCTCGGCGCCCGGGAGGTTGGCGGTGCCTCCCGTGCCGAGGTCCCCGCGCCTTCCCTCGACCGCGCTCCGCACAGGCGTGGGCGGCCGGTGCTGGGCAGGCGGGGGAAAGGAGGGACGGGCCGAGGTAGGTAGTGGGGGTGCAAGGGGAGGAGGGTCGTAGAGGTGGAGGAGGAGCAGAAGCAGGCGGCCGACCGCGAAAGCGGGGGTGGAGGATGGTGCAGGGAGAGAGGGGAGGCGAGCAACGGGGAGGAGCGGAGAGAGAGGAAGATCTCGACGGGGAGGGGCCCAGACGTGGGCAGGGCGAGGCGTGGGCGGGGCCTGGGAGTGGGAGGGGTGGGGCGCCGGCGGGGGCTCGGGGGCGCGAGGCCCCTCTGCAGAGGGCCGGGGCCAGAAAGGCCGCGACTCGCCCCACCCCCAGGCTCCTACCCCCGCTACGACGCGGGCCGGCCCTACCCGCCCGACGGCGGCCGCCAGTTTGCTTCCCGGCGGCGCCTTGCGCGGAGGGAAACCTGGCGGTGCAAGGCTGCGGCTCTGCCGGCGACTGCTCTGAATGCAGAAGAGCCTTTCTCACGCCCCTGAGCCCTTCCCCGCCCGGGACGCCCAGATGGACGGGTCTGGCTCGTTGGACGCTGCAGCCCACCGCTGTCGGGGCCACAGCACCATTTCTGTGGTTCTTGCAGAGAAATGTGGTTTCAAGTATTTATTTTAAACGAAAATTTAATAATGATTATAGCGATACTTTTGTCCCTTCTTCCAATTTAAGAGCGAGGGTAAAAAATTGAGGGATGAAGGCGTTTGAAGCCCAGGGAAGTGCCCAAGAAAGCCAGCCTGCCCAGGCCCGGAAGCAGGCGTTTTCATACCTTCAAGTCGTTAAGCAAGCTCTGGGCCTCCAGCTTTGTGGCTTCGTTTTCCAACTCAGCAAAATGATGGGGACGGTCCTCCCAGACTGTAAACAGAGTATTGATCAGCTTCTGAGTCTTCTGATGAGCTGATCTTGCTTGTAGAATTACATGGTTTCTGAAGCTGGAGGAAAATGGCCTGGTTGTCAGCACTCGCCCATCCCCTAAGGTTATTCTTTTTTGCACAGAATTGGGAATCAAATTGCCATTTAATAGCAGGACTTGGGATTGGTCCTGCATTTTCTTCCATCTCCTTCAACATGCCTGTTTCATATATTGTGTGTCTGTGAGGAAGGCCAGATCATTATTGAGGAGAGGGGAAAAAAGGCAAGAAACTTCTTGGAAATCAATAACCAATAACCATTCACTGCTTGTCTACTGCCCGGTAATCATCCTTCAGAGGTAAGATTCTTTCCCCCGTCTTCCCTTACCACCCCTTTGGGCCAGGCATTCCTGTGCATGGATTTCTCTGCTTCCCAGTTTTCCATCATGAACTTATTAAAGATAGGACCCCAAAATATAAATATTTAGAAGGTGCTTACCAATGTCATTAGACACCAAGCAAATACTTTTTAAAGTGAGAATGTCATTAGTGATGGTTGAAAATTTCATTCAATCCCTCCCTGTTGCTGATGCAGGAATTTGCACATTTTACATCTCAATGCTTGTTCCTCTTTCCCCAAATACAGTGCCTATTTTAAAAAATGAAGATTTTTGCCTTGTCCGAAAATTAAAAGTCATGATTTATTTTTCAGTTGGACTTCCAGGCTCAAGGTTTCCCAAACAAGTACCCCATATTAATTGTGTGGCTTGTGCCTGTGTGTGTGTGTGTGTGTGTGTGTGTGTGTGCGCACGCGCTTTTAGCCTGTTGTTGCACCGTAAAAACATTAGCAGGATGTAATGTCATTAATTTGTTGACTTAAAAGAGGCTACTGTGAGTATAGAAAAATTCACTATAGGGGAGGGGGTCGGGGAAGCACCTCAAAGAGATGGACAACTGTTCCCTAGAACAGCTGCGGACACTGGCAGTGGAATTGCTTGGCACCAGTACAACTCTGCAGCAAGAGGGGTTTATTTATTTAACAATAATTAATGATTCTCCCAGGCAACTCCCAGGAGGCCAGCTAGCAGTAAATATACTTTCAGGAAATCAGCTACCCTTCCTAGAAGCATGCCCCAGCCCTGCAGTGAAGGGAGATCCCTGGCTGCCCACATAATATGACATTCGGTGGGCTTCAGCTTCAAATGCCCCCCCAAAACTCCCTGCACAGCCCACCACAGCCCTGCCTTTCCGTGCTTGAGATGCTTGAGGAAAGTTACCAGGTCCTAAAACAGAAAAATGAAGAAAAATGCACCATTTCTGGAAGGCCACCATTAACCAGATTAGTTACCTGGGAACAGAGCGGGGCTGGGGCTATCCAACCCTGTCCCACTAGCTAAAATACCAGATTAGATTAGCTAGTTGATGCCCCTAGACTAGCATTTTCCAAGGTGATATATGTAGAGAGACTGGTGGTTCTTGTGATACTGTTAGGTGGTACTTGAATAACATTTTTTTATTTTAATGGTCAGGTTTTTTTTTTTTAACCTCATGCACATAACTAACATACCAAACCTGTGGTATTGTAAATATAATTACTTAGGGTGAGGCCAAACTTTTTAAAGTCAATTTAAAGAGAAATCCGAATAAATAGAAGTAATAGGATAGCAAAAAAATGTAACTTTTATATTAAATGAGGTGAAGTCAGTAGGGTGCTGGTAGAAACCAGTTTTTATTCTTTCTTTCAACTCATTCTCCTGGAGTCTCTGCCAGGACTCCTAAGACAGAAGAAGAATTCCATTTTAACATCCTGTTAAAAAATACTGAGTTTTGACAACGTCTCATCAGGCAGGACAGAGCCCTTGCTCTGGAGGGCCATGTAGGATGCAGGGACAGTTGATACTGGGTGGCAGAATGGGCTCATGAGGTGAGTGAGCCCAGGACACTGGGCACTCACAGTGGGTCCCCAGGATGGAAGGACAATCTGAGAACTTTACTGCCTGAGTCCAGCAAAGCCCTGCTGTCAGTGGTGAGAATTCGGACAGTACAAGAGAAATTTCAGTCCCTATAAGCCCCTTTGAGCTTCCTTCCAAACTAACCGGAGAGATCTAAGCAAGAAATGTTCAGGATGCTTCTAGAAAGACTGCTTATCAGAATAGTCTATTTCTATAGTCATTTCTGTCACATGATTGTAAATTAGGGATTACTTTCATGTCAACTCTTAACATACGGACGCCACCCCCACCACCACCACACTGTGCAAAATTACTGACACCCCAGGGGTGACATGTAAAAAGATTCTTACATGCTTCAGGAACTCTTTCCTTAGTCGATTATACTTCATCAGGATCGTAGGTGCTGGCTTTTTAATTTTCATATCTAGCGTGAAAAGAAAGACAGCCGATGTGGTGAGTAAGCGAGCTGTACTGACATTCCCAAACCATTTTTCAATCAGTAGTTCCATACACACTACCCACCCACCCCCATCCTCAACTTCTGCCACCACCACAACCTTCCCCAATCATGCTCTTTCTCTAGAGCTGCTGCTCCTTTTATTTCTGCATCCTGTTGTCCTTACTGTTAGGACAGAGGCGTACAATAAAGTGACAAGGCGTGTGAAGGGAGGAAGGAGGCAGCAATGCAAAAGGCCTTACATGGCCTCAGACTCAGGAAGGGATGGAAATCTCAGCTGAAGATCATAGTTAAAATACAGGCAGAACATGGATGTAAAGTGGTAGTTTCGGATAGGACTTACGTGGTCTTTCATAATCTGATGGAGACAGAATTTGGTGTGCCTGCGAAAAAGAGATAAAAATAAATACACCACACAATAAATACACTTCACAACAGTAGAAATTTAGTAAAATTCCATTGCCAGTGTTGTCCTCCCCTTCCAGAAGGCACTTTGATAATGCTGTCAAAAGCCACTGTAGCAATAGGTATGAACAATAAAGTGGAAAGACAAAATTGGAGAAAATATTTATAAAACTGGACAGCAAAAGATGACTCTCCTTAGACACAAATAGCTTATACAAACCAATAGGAAAAAGCTAAGAACCCCAGTAGAAAAATGGGCAAAGGAAGTGAATACAGTCAGTTCTCATTGCTCATGGATTCCAGATTTGAGAATTTGCCTACTTGCTAAAATTCAGCTGTAACCCCAAGTCAGTACTCGCAGCATTTTTGAGATCACCGAAGGCCCTGCTGGGAGTGGCAAACAATTTGAGTCACCTGACACGCACGTTCTCTGTGGAGGTTAAGAACACACGCTGCCTTCTTGTTTCAGTTGTCATACTGTAAACCAATGTCCTTTTTGCATCCTATTTAGTGCCACATGTTCTGCCTTTTCATGTTTTTTGTTAATGATTTCATGTTTAAAATGGCCCCTGAGTGCAGTGCGGATGTGCCATCTAGGATTCCTAAGTGCAGGAAGGCTGTGATGTGGAAAAAATACGTCTGTTAAATAAGCTTCGTTTAGGCATGGGTTATACTGCTGTTGGCTGCAAGTTTAGTGTTAATCAACAATATATAGTACATAAGGTATCATTAAAAAGAAATACATAAAACAAATTTACGTATTGATCAGTTGGTGAAACTGGTGTGACCAGAGGCTCACAGGAACCTGACCCTACATTTCCCTTAGGAGCCATGGTTCAGTAGTCACTGATTCAGTGTTAGTGGAGGCTTTAGAAACATAACTACCTCACATAATGAGAATTGACTATAAATTCACCAAAGAGCTATGAATAACCAGTAAATAGAAGCCACTCCACCTCACTGATAGTCAAAGAAATGACAATTAAAAGGAAATTGAAATATCTTCATCTATCAAATTGGAAAATATTAAAATTATTTTTTTAAAGCCAGTTTTATAGGAAATATAGGAAAACAGACACTCTTGTGGACTGCTGGTTCATGAGGCCAATTTTCTGGAAGGCAATTTGGCTGTACATCAATATTTAAAATAAACATACCTTCTGACCCAAGAATTCTACTTATGGGAAAGTACCCTGAGGTGATGGTTGTACAATCAGAAAAATTCATATTCAAATTTACTCATCACATCATTTTTTATAATAGTTACAAGTTTGAAAACCCTAAATGCACAGCAATAAGGGATATTTTTAAATTGCAATATATCCAGTCAATGTAATATCATGATTCCATTAAAATGATAATAATTATGTTAACAGTGAAAGATGTCCATGAAAATACTGTGATTAAAATAGATTGCAGAGGACAGTGGATGCCATCCGTGAACTCCACGTGTGCGTCTTTATGTGTGCGTAAGCACAGACCTTTGAGGGATGTTCACTAAAATGTTAGTGGTGATTACTCCTGGGGCAAAGGGAAGGATTTCAGGTGATTTTTCCTTTGGTCTCTATTTTCTCTGTATTATTTGAAGGTTTTCAATCAGAGAAAAGCTGTTTTTGTTTTTAACTGTCAATGTATTACGTATAGTGATTGTCGCACATGGGAAAGAGGAAAAGTTGGTGACTATAAAAAAAAGCACAGCGTCCTCAGTTCACGGTCATCCATCACCCAGAAGAAAACTGTACACCTAATAAGCACTCAGAAATAAAAGTTTGATAAATGAATATTATTAAACAATGACTCCAACCCCCTCCAGTTCGTTTTTATGAATAATATGCAGTATGCAATCATTGAAGTTCTCTACGCATAAATGATCACTGAGAAATGTTGGACTTACCACTCTGTGCTTGACGTCAAATGAATTTTTAAAGGAACCAGTTATATGAGGGAAAAATCCTGCGTGCAGATGAAGAGGGAAAACCAGAATCAAACCCAGTGTTAGAATAAAATTTCTTACATTCCCGATTAGGCTCTACCAATAAATTGTACAGGTGTCACTTATTTCCCTTTAGAATCTGACCTACAAAAAGTAAGAGGTAAGACAAAGCTGTGACTAAAAGTTAATTCATAGTAAATATTCTGGAGCTTCTAGGCTGGGTGGGTAAACATGTTTTTTATGGTATATATTTCAGTATTATTTTAAAAAGAAAAACATACTGATAACAGCTAAGGAGACACTGAAATTATTTGAATCTAAAATTAAAAAATGTTATCAGACTAATTCAGTTTTACATGTCCTTTGGCTTTCTCTATATTTTTCTGAAGTAAGTCTAAAATATAGATTGTGTTTCAGTCTTTATGAATTTTCTTACATTTTAATTCAGCTACGAAATAATTCTTTATGTCCCCTCTCCCCCATAAAAAAAGAACACTTAACCTCTCAAATGCT